AAAGGGGCTATACAGGGGATTATATGGGGGACTACTCTGGAGGTTATTAAGGAGGATACTAGGAGTTTAGACTTTAGCTCATATACAAATAATGGAAAAGGAAATGGAAACTACTATCCAGGGTTTAGGGATATATAGCAGCTGCTATGCACTCAGGAGCTTTGTTGATTGTGAGCTGATGCAGCCCGCTAGTGGCCATGGCAGGTTCAAGATGAACTGCCTGCAGAGCCTGACGTTGTACAAGGCCGTTCTTTGCCAAAGAAGGGTTTGGGGGTTAATCAGGGTTCAGGGTATAGGGGTTAGAGTTTCAGAACGTTACGCCCTGGCGTTGTGTATTTGTGGGGTTCAGATTTGGGGCAGGACGTTTGCGATTAGCCTGTAGAAAGTCTACTTCACTCTCCTCGTAAAAAAATGGAACCTGAGAGAATGACCATTGTAGCGCCTGTTTCAATGGGCCTGCGATTTGTTCCATATTTGTTTGGAGGATGGTAGGTTTTTGTTAAATTTGTTAACTGGCGTGTCAGCAAGAACAGTGCTCGCATCTACACTTGGCAAGTTAAAGGCAGGGACTCCCAGACAGTTCATGAGTCGCTACCAGCCGGCTGAGTGCCCACAAGGCTGCGGGTTTACACGTTATGGGGGCTTCTTGACTTCCGTTCGTCGTTGCAAGTTTCCAGTAGGCTCCGGAATTCAGCAGGGTGGAGCATGGATAGGCAAATGGAAAAACCTTGAAGCTGTTCCCTAAGGGTTCAAGGACCCAAATAATGGGGTTTTTTAGGACCCAAATTCTATAATGATGGTATTTGGGCCCTGAAACCCTACTATTTGGGTCCGTGGACCCTTAGGGAAAACCTTGAAGCTGTTGAGCTGTGCAGGTGACGAACAGGCGCCGGGACCTTACCTTCTCCGTCACGGCATCCCCAGACCCCCTAAAGGATCCAAAACATGGAACCCCCCCCCAATATGAACCCATTACTACATTGGGGAAACTAGGGGATTATTAGGGTTCCATTTGTTGAATCCTTTAGGGGGTGTGGGTCAGTGCATATCTGCACTCCCCCACGGTTACGGCCACCCAAGATGTTCGCAGATTTGTTGATGGGCGTGCTTGGGTAGATGTTGACCATATCTTGGTTCAGATCCCCCGCGTAAACATCTCAAAGCATGTTTGCTTTTCATTTTCTAGATCACAATCTCCCCCTCGCAGCCTATTCCTTACAGGTGCTTGAGGGGGAGTGCAGGTAAGAATGGCAGGATCCACCGCCCTTCTACTCACCCGTGAGTGCGAGTATCATGTTCTAAGGCAGGAATCTCCAGATGAGGAGGCGGAGCATGGTGCCTGGGCTGCAGAAGAAGCCAACCACCCTGGCATTTGCAGCAGACCATCTCATCTCAGAAGCCCTGTGTGATAAAGTGCTTGTACAGT